GCTACTTGATTTCCAAACACCGCTGGACTTCCATAGCAGTCTGGAAACTCTCTCCTTCGGGAAAATAAAACCAGTCATGAGTTTTCTCTGCTAAAACCCCGTTCGGGTAAATGTTTATTGCGAGCAGCGTTCGACTGTTTCTGCAGGGATCAGAGCGGTACTTCGGTAGATTGTACCGATCGATCCCAATCTAATGAGGGGTCATTTGGTAAAATATGTGGGGAATTGCCAAAGTTAGTGAATTTAATGTAAAATGTGACTTTTTCCTGTGCCTGTTAATAACGTAATTATTTCTCTGGTACAGCAGTGTATGCTGGGTAATCAGACTGTAAGCCCAGTCCCCCATGTAGTCCACTACTGGACAAACCCTGTAATGTGACTTGGGAAACCCCTTACACTTGTAACCGCATAAATACTGTGACCTGTGATTTAAAACCTCAGTTGACCTCCAAGCTATGTGTCGTCTAGTTCTTGGGAGAAAGGGATTGTAACTACGCTACCTGGATTTTGTCTACTTTGTACCTGTTTTATTCTGTCTGCCAGCGGAGATACCGTGGATAATACTGCTACTCCGCTACATCCTATGACGGTGGTAATCTGGATCACTGTCTAGTATTCCCTTCTTCCCAATAGCAGAATAACAACAATCCACAGGGTAAAATAACGCTGGTAGCGCCAAATAATCCACACATGAGCCAAAGCTTAATGCTGGAACAAGACTGATTTACTGGAAGCAACAGGCATTCAATTTATACAGTAACAGACTCCTCCTCTGGGCCAGGCTAGAGAATTGAGTTTCAGCAACATACTAAACTCAATTATCTGCTGGCCAGAAACATTAACAATTTTCAACATTTTTAGAAATACACTTCATACATGACATAAGAATATAAAAGCTGAGGATTCTGGGAGTAACATATCCAAATTGCACGAAAATCCCTTCGTTAGTTTCTGGGTCGCATCGTGTGGAAGTTTGACCGGCTCGCCATGTGGTTGTATCCGAGTTAGAGTTCCATGAAATTAGTAGCAAGAGCCGGTCTCAGTTTGGGACAATTTACACAAAAACCCCCATTGATGTAAAGTAGCTGGTTACATGCGAGTGCTCCCCTCGTTCGGTAGATTGAAACTCCCGAACGCCATTCGTATACAGTTCGTGGAAATGGGTCAGACAGGACTTCATTGGGTGACCGGGGATTGCTGGAGAGCCCTGCCAAAATTAGTCCTGCTGACCGGCCGTTCGGGAGTTTAAGATGGCCGCCATTCATTGATCTTACCACGTGTTTGTGTCCCAAAATGGCGGCCACCCAGGAGCACTCAATTAGCTTGCGGTTTCACAAGATTTTATGTTCTAATTGCTACCCAAGGTGGTCCTCGTTCGGTAAAATAGCTATCTTACCGAACAAGGGATTTTAACGAATTAAAGTACAGAACAAATAGCCGTAAATGGTGGTGGATCCACGAACAAAGTAGCAGGGAGGGAAAGTACCGAATGCATGGAGGGTGATCCTTCACAGTCCCTGTGACTGATCACCCTGTCCCTGGATTGTAACTCCCTTTATTTCATTCCCCTATGGGTTCGGGTCATTGCCTTCTCCTTCGTTTTATTTTTAATTTATTCTCCTACTGAACAAACTACCGAACGACCAGACCACCCGTATGTGGAGTGTGCCACTCATTAACCTCTATCACTTCCTTAACACTTCTAAAACTGCAAGCGTTCTAAGCAGTCGGCTGGGTGGTCGTTGTTCCGTATATGAACACGTGGCGGCGGCCATCTTTAGCCACGAACACATACAGCGGTGTTTGGTCGTTGAGTGCATGGAACTATAATCGGACACTCGACAGTGCGAACACCGCTGAGACTTCCATATCTACCTATGTTCAGCTGGATTTGTATGGAAAGAGCGGCGTTTGGGAATAAGCTCTCGAGCAAGAAACCTAGACGGAGCAGACCCACGAACACTTATGTTCGGTATTTTGACTGTATTGTGTATTCCCGAAAGGTGGTCAAAATGTGACCTCCATGGAAATCTCAAACCCCTCAACCGATCTGGGTGATCTTTGGATATGTTGGTCCCCCAGATCGGGGCTTTCAAAGGAAATATAACTTGTGGGGTTTCCATGGGTGTTGAGGATACTTTTGGGGTACTGCTAAAATGTATGTTCTCTGGGTCTGGAGATAATTGAGATAATACAGTTCATGACTCAATTATCTCCCAGGCACAGGGGAGGGATTATCTTATTCTGTATGGGAGTGTCCTGGACCTGAGAGACAATTTGTATTTGTTTGTACCGTAGTCTACTCTCAGATCCAGAGGGGAGTGCCCCTTGCATAGGGCTTGACATAAAAGGCCGTGTGTGGCCCCATTAAAACCAGTTATCTCACAGCATAGAGCCTCGTCTCATGTTTGTGGGAGAAAGCTACAACGGCTGTCTCTCTTCTGCTTGGAGTGCTAAATCACTAGCTTTTGTAAGAGCTGTTCCTACTCTGCATCACAGCATCCCTCCCACTAGGGGGGGAAAAGAACATCTCTGACGGTGAACCCGCTCTTCTCATTGGGGTGGCCGGCACAGTCCCTGTTATGTGTGACCTACCAGACGATGTAAACAGCCTCTATCCTGCTTTTTCTCGTATGTTAACACGCTTACTGTATAAAATGTGTCCTGCTCTGTTTTGTTCTCCTGTTCCATTATCTAATGAAACTCTGTGTTCTATTGTTTTTTTTTTTATAGCTTTAGGTTAGAAACAAAGAATTGGAATAACACAATAAATTCAGACGTCAAACACAGGTCAACCTGTCCCACCAGGAGCAGACTCTCTTCACTCTCAGAATGAACAAGGACAATCT